TTAAAAGGTAACACAATGGGCAAATAGGCCTAAGTAAATCACCTTGAGATTTATTTAAAGAATAATATATAATTCTCATTTTGTTTAATTTTAATAAACTATTAAATTAAATTATATTATTGTAGCATTGTTTCACGTTTGTTTTGATATAGACATATGTTTATTTATATATATATTTAGTGATTGAAGTATTTAAATTTGGCTAATAGAATAATTAAATGGAATTTCAAACAAACATCTTCAATTATTATATATAAATATTCAAATAAAAAAATTCAAATTATATTGTAAAATAAAAGCAATTAAAATATCAATAAACAAAATCTTTATTTTTTTCCCAAGTTATAAGATAAGAAATAAACAGGGTACCGGTTTCGAACGGAGCGGAGCACCGTGGTCATAGTTGATCTTTTTTGCTGCTATAAACCCTAACCACACAGAACACATTATGCTCTTCGAATGAAAGCCAAAGTGTTAGCAGTTGAGGACCTTTTAATATCAAAACGGGAAAGTAATTCTCCCGAATGTGACAGGAATTCTTGTCTGCCACTAAACAGAGTCGACAATCTATCTCTTCAGACAGACTCATTTGGTTAAGGTGGTAACACAGTTCGTGGCGACCCGTTAAATATCGCATCAATAACCTTAACTTTGTTCTGCTGAGGAAGGATATATTAACGTAATTGTAAGGACGAACCAGCTCTTTAGCCTGACCGTTACCTGGAATATAGACACCTAGTTGTAGATCAATTTAATACACAATATGGCTCCGGTCCAGAGAGTTGAATGGCAGAGCCTACCCTTGCAAGATTGTCTACAAAATCGTTTTCATTGACTTCTGTGTGACCAGGAACCCAGCAAGGTATCATTTTGTTTTTGTTGCCAGCTGCTACAGCATGTCATAGCAGTCTAACCGAGACTTACACTAACAACCAATAGTAGCTCGAATATTGGATAACTACATTGAGTGGGAACTAAATGTTATATGAATAATCATATATAAATCAAAACAATTAGTTTATTTAAAACCGGATCTTTAGCCCCATCTAGCAATTCGTAATAACTGTTTCTGTTGATATTTTATAATTTATTTATATCAAACTTTTGAAGCTTTGCAACCTTTTGTTATTTTTAACAAAAAGAACTTAGTACAATGATTACTACAATAGAACAAAATTTATTAATATTTATGTTAATATAGCAATGTTCCATTAAATTAAATATTTGAGGTTTTATCTTTAAATTTTAACATCCGATAAGATAAACTTCGGCTGTCATAGTTGAGTAAAGCAAACTTTCTATATGTATAGTATAGGTTGAGTAGACTTTCTATTGCGGAAGGAAATAAAAATACGTATTCGTCATTATTTTCGCGATAAAAAGTAAACAAAAAAACTAATTTTAACCTGTGATGTCATAAGTTGCTAATAAAAAAAAATATTGTGAATTTTTTTTGATTATTTCTTGGCAGTGAAATGAAAATATTCTTCTGGAAACTAATTTAGTTAAAGATAAATATAAAAATTAATTTATGTATATTCGACTTTGAATTTTTAAAAATCATAAGTTTTTTAAGTAGAAAAAGTCAATTATGCACTTTACTAAAATTAATCATTTATATATAAATACATGTGAAAGTGTATTTGATGTACAAAAGAGTTAAATTGCTTTACTCCCGGTAAATCAATAAACCGAGAACTGAAATGAAAAAGAGTTTAAAAAACAGATATAAAATTTTTTTTTTGTCTGCTATATTAATTTAAAAATAATTGAAATCCCCTAATGCAAGCGTTTTTTTTTGTATTTGCATATGAGTTATAATTTATAAATACCGAAATTCTTTTTGTTAAATAAATTTAATTTAAGGTCGAAGTGGCGCATACTCTTCACGTGTTAATATTAAAATGAAACTCATTGTTACACACCCAATAATGTTCAGTTTCCTCGATATCTATATAAATGATAACCAAACATAATAAACAAACTATTATATTCCCACGTTCTGGTAAATCCCCCTGAATTTGGTGTGATTGTTTAATATGTTAACAAAACACAAATATTTTTGCAACTAAATATTTGACAAATAAATTAGTACTTCATTATCGGCGGGCATGTCGCCACCAACTGATATTGCAGACGTCCATAAATATATATATTTATATACCATATATGCACGATTTGAACATATTGATTAGAAATATTTTTTCATTCAGAATTAGATTTTTTCGAATTTTTCGGTTTTTTCTAACTTTTATTTTCATTTTCATTAATAATTTTTATATCACTTTGTCATTTTCACCTAAACTCACAGCGATAACTTTACCTGAGTTGGGGTAACTTAGCTCTCCAACTCATTCGTCTAATTTTGCACTTTGTACGCTAAAAATAATAAAGCATTTTTGCATGAGGCGCCAATAATAAATTTTCAATAAACTTGGCGCCAGTTTAGAGTTAATGTTGCTAAATGTTTATACTTTTATTGAAAACATCTTTTAAAATATTTTTATTTATATATATATATATATTTTTTTTTAAATTAATTTAAAGTAACGAATGATTTCAACAAACTCTTTATCAGCTTTTGAAATTGAAAAGAAATAAATGTAAGAATATATTATTTTTTAATAATTTATTTATTAAAAAAAGTAATTAATTAAAATGATTTGCAAATCAGAAATCTAATAATTAAGTTCGAATACTAAAATTACTAATCCAAAAACTTGGTTTAAAAAGTCGTAAAGTCAGATTGTTCAGATAATGCATCGTTCTAGTTTTGATACAACTAGTGTTCTAGTGATAACACAACCAGAAAGCATTCACTATTACTATAAGTTGAAGAACCTTACCTGATAAGGTAAGGTTTGTAAGGTAAGATCACTATAAGAGTCCAGATGTCGACAAGTCTTTCTTAGTTGATAAAAAGTATATGTTTTCTTAATATTATAAATATTTGTTGCTTGTGTCTCTTATTGAAAGGTTTTAGTGCTTTGTTTCTGATATATTTTTTAACACTATTAATTCATATATTTATAAATATCTTAAATTTTAAAATACTATAAAGCTATTCTTCTTAACGCTTAATAATATAAACGCTTCTGCGATAAATTTTCTTATCATGTGATAAATACAATTTTTTTTATATATTATTTCGCTTTATTTTGCTTTAATAATTCTTAACTATAATATATCATCAATCAAACTATTTCGTTATTAAATATATATAGTTTCGTTATTAAATGTTTACTATAAATTCTTTTTACTTTACTTATAATTATCTGACATATTAGGTCTATCAGTATATAAAATGTAAAGAAAAAAAGTAGAGTATGACTTTGTGATTAGTTCTTGGAATAGATTTATATTGTTAAAAATGAATTTAATACAATTTTAAAAGTGAGTTAATTATTTTCGCAGAAATGTTTAAATATTAAATGTAATATTTAATTCAATTATATTTTATTAATAACTTAATTTTAATTGATGGTAAAAATTATAAAATTTTTAAAAATAAACATTTCAACAAAATCAAGTTAACTTTATTTTACTTATGTGAGCTCATCATTATGATTTCAAGGAATATGATGGTAAATGAAGATATATAATATTATATTATATATATAGATTAAGTGCATTTTATTTATTTGAGATCAACATAATAATTTTTAGATATATTATGGTATATAAAGATAGATAATATTATGAAACAATAATTATAGTTTATGTTCAATTGATAAGCAATAATTATGATCACCTGACAGCACTGTGCATGTATATAATAACTTTGATGAGTCCAGATTCAAAACCCATCAAGATCAGGATATTCAAATATATTTAAAGCTAGTTTGGGAGTTTTGTACCAATAATAGAACTTCACATAGACTTAAGATTCACAAGAATATCTTCTACAAAATTTACACAGAGTGACTTTTTTGGATTAGTAGGGTGGTTAAGGTAGTGTTGTGGAAAGAACTATTTGTATATAATTAAAATATAATAATTTGAGAATAATAAATTTAAGAAAATTATGAAGAAGATATAATATATTATTAAACATATTATTAAAAGAAAAGAACAGGGTATGGTTAATTCATTACTATAAATTTTAATTATTAAATAAAATTATTTTATAAACAATTATAATTAATGCGATCTCAATAATAAAACGCTGATATAAGAATGGTAAATAGGAATGGAAAATATATTTATAAATTTAAACTATATATATATATAATTGTAATATGTATGTTTATTTATTAGTATAATAAAGAATTTTAATTGACATTAGATATTGAAAACAACATGTCGTATGATCAACATTTTTTTGAGACGTTCATGTGCGTGAGATATTGGGTTTCAAATTTGATCATTTTGCTGTCGATGTGGGTTTTGAAACTTCTATTTTTTTACTATTTTTTTAACTTTTGAGTATAAAATTTTCATAGAATTTTTTTTTTTATACGTACGTCTTATTAATGGAACCCTTTTAATATAACGAAATCGCTGATTACAATATATATAGCACAAACATTATAATACCATGTTTTCTTAAAGTTTATATAGTGGTATAGTAGATGTTCGATCTTAGTACCCAACATATGTTATTATGAGATAATAGAAAATAAAAAAAGTATGAGTATAATAATACTTAACTAGCTACTCTATCAAATAGACTTCATCAATTTATTTTGATATAAAAATTATATTAATTTTATTTCAAAATTTCTCATTAGTGAAGTTTAAAAAATATTAAACATTTTCAATGTACAAAATTTATTTCAATTTGAAATAGTTAACTATTTATAACTGATAGTAAAGAAGAAATTAAGATCAGAAGTAACACACATGGATTTACATATTTTCTTTCTATACAAGCCGTGCTGAGGAAAATGCTATAGCCAGAAACAATAAGGCTGAATGAGTGAAATACTTAAGAGTACCACTGCAATCTATAAACAAATGCCTTTGAAAAATTTAGCGCATCTGGTGTACCCAGAGAATAGCTAATATCGACCAGCACTCTCATAAGAGCTAAACGAGAGCTTTAAGAAATAAGAGGTAGAAATTTAGAAACACAATTATGGCTAGATAATGCATTTTAAAAAGTCCAAATAGCAATTATATTTTAAAGGCACTGAGGTCGAATCCGCAAGGTTCTAGGTTCGCTGTTCCATATAATAATACGAGTATTTGTTGAGTTTAAATTGAGATATTAAAATAAAATATATAAGGATGTTGTTAGTCACTTCAGCTATTAACTCAGCAAAATATTAATAAATAATTTTTTAAAACAAGAAAAACTTATCGAATACTTATCGACAAAAGATATATATGTTATGGCCTTATGTAAAGTTTAAAAAAACACGTATTTTCTTAAATTTGGATATATAATAATATCTATTAATATTATAACTTTTGAATGTATGTATTTTAATTTTATAACATTCATTATAAGATATCTATCATAAAATAGCAATTACATGTAACTTAAAGTCTTAATCTCGATATATTGGTGTAGAATATGATTGTGTTCTATAGAAAACTCTCAATATTATTAAATATCTAAGCGCAGCAAAAATCAAGTTTAATGAAATATGAAAAATATCAAAAAAAAAGTCCATAGAAAGTGAAAAAATATATATAGCAAGTGTGAGTAATAAGCAATAAGCAAAGTAATCAATTATGGAAAAGTTGAGATTGATATAGGATATGATTCATTTTATTCGGATTCAGTTCTTTCTTGAAAAAAAAAATATTTATGCTAATTTGTAAATAGTTTATAAGCTTGTTAAAAGAAATGCTTAGTTTAATTCAGTTTTTTGTCACAAAAAATTTTTCCTGAGAATTCTTTCCATTAAAAAAAAGTGATTACTCATACGACCAATGATCATATTGGTAGTCCCTTAAGCATAACAAAAGATAATTATTTCAAATTTGTGTTTTTAATATTAATGAAGTACGTTCTACTAATTGAAATAGTTCCTATAGAGTTTAACTATTTTGTAGCAGACAATATATTCTATAATTTTAATTGATTTTGCTCTTTGGTTGCACTTTGAACTCCTTTTAAATAGTTAATTAGATATATGATAATTATCTTAAATGAAATAATATTTGATAAAATATTTATTAAAAGTGAAATTTATTAGTAGACTAAAACAATACACCCAAATAGTGATTATTTAAAAATAAAAATTCATGTAAGATCATAGTTATTGTTATTTTAAAGTTAATTATAATATTTTACAATAAACTGTATGATAAGGTGTTTGTACTAATATACAACTCTCAAGTTCTATATATTGGAAACAATATATTATAACGAAATTCGTGAAAAAATTATATAAATGGTTGCTTTTATTTATTGTAATCCTCACCGTATTGTAGGAGTATTGTCATTATTCTCTTTGATACTAGCACAAGTACTGGGCAACTATCAACCACTGAAGAAATAATGGTCTACGAAAAAAATGACTAGAGGAAACTGAATGTATGCTTCAGAAGATACAATTAAAAAAAATCCAAGTTTAAACTTCCCAATGTAGCAGACTCAAGTGCTCACGCAACCTATATAGAAGAAAAAATTATGACAAAGACATGCCACTATAGCGAAACCTAATATGAAGTTTAACACTTTATGTTAGGGATGTGTTATGCAGACAGTCATGGTCACGTCAAATTTGAAATTTTTTATTTAATTTGAAAACAATAACAATCTCAAATTTGACGTGACCATGACTCTCTATAACATGGCCGTTACGTTTCCAAGCAAGAATTTTGAGTATCAAATAGGTACAATATATGTATGTAACAATATTTTTATTTATTTATTTTTGGGCTTATGAAGCAATAACTTACAGATTTATGCTATATATATTCAAAATACTATAATTAATCGTTTTCAAAAACGCTTTTCATTAAGCCAACTATATACTCATACTATTTCTAAACTTCAGATATTTCTAACAACACAATTAATAACAGAAAATAGTATAAATGTTATTACTGTTTATATATCTTAAAAAATATTTAAACTTACAGTTTCACTCCTTCCTATAAAATTTAAATTACTATTAATCCACAAAAAAATCGAATAAAATAATAAAAATTATGTGTTTAAAAATTATATGGCTTCTTATTTGAACTAAAAAAACAGAAAACCAGTTAATAAAATCCATAAATAAAAGCAGTCATAAATACTTATTATTATATAATAAAAATATTTTAAAGGCATTTATAATAAAATATAAAATAGTTTTTAAGGTTAAAAATCTTCATATTTGCTGTTTAATATACTTCCACTTTTATTGTCGGGTTTGCCGTTGGGAAAACAGATTATAATACATTGTATCAGTTTCTCATTAAATTTTTAAAAATGTTCTATAAAATGTAAGTAATAATTACAACTGTATAATTATATTTTTATTACATTTGCGTTAATAAGTTTAAACAATTAGTATAGTTAATTTTTTATTTTTAAAAATAAAATTATAGTTTATTTTTAAATTCAAATATATTATTTTGCATTTTAAAACCATTTATATTTACGATAATTGCTAATACATTATTATTGTTTTATTTTTTTAGTTAATGATTTTTTTTTAATTTTAAAAAGAGAAATTTATATCTTTTTTGACATATTTAAAGCATATGGAGATGATTTATTGTTCAATTGTCACAACAACAATAAAACGAACTTATTCTACAAAAATAATTTTTATAAATAAATAAGTTTAATTTATTCAATAAAACAGCAGAAACTATATTTTTGTACAATGCAGCTATATATTGGAGTCTGTAAAATAAACTAAAATAGAGTAAAATACCGAAAGCATATTATTATATACCTGTAATATCATAAAATAATATAACATTAAATGAAAAAAAAAAATGTAAATGAATAATTTAATTTTTTGGTACATTTAAATAATTAAAAAATTTAAATAATTTATAAAATTATTTATTTACTATAAAAAGTAATAAATTATAACATAAGAAAATAAAAAAGAAAATTAAATAAAATCATTTAAAATCAAAATTTAATCATACAAATAGTTAAACAAAAGAAACAAAATTAAATAAAGACAATTAAACAAAATAAAATAGAATAATAAAAAAGATAATAATAATAATACATAAAACTCTTTATTAAAATTAAATAAAATAAAAATTAACTAACTGAGAAAACACATGAAATAAATTTATAATATTAGCTACTATTTATGATAATATAGAGTATTTATATATTATATATACGGGTTTTGCAGCGTAACTATTAATTTGTTTGTTATATATAATTCTCTCTCTCTTTCTCTCTCTCTCTCTTATTTGTTACTTAAATTTTAGTCTTGTTTCGCAATTTTTATTTCTTTTATGAAAGTTTTTAGTTGTAAAGTTTTGTTTATTTTTTGTTTTGTATTATTAATATTAAAAATGTATCGATTATAAAAATTGTTGAAAAAATATTCTAAAAATTATGAAAAATTTTATTTTTAAAGCTTTGTTTATTTTTTAATTTTGCATTCTTCATTTTAATTTTATTTTAAAGTTTAGCAAATTTTATTTTCTTTATTGATATTTTATTTATGAAGTTTTTTTTTTTTTAAATTTTTGTATTCTTCATTATAATTTTATTTTAAAATTTTGCAATTTTTATTTCTTTTATGAAAGTTTGTATTTTTAAAGATTTCTTTAAACAGATATTGTGTTATTTCTGATCATAAAAAAATAAGATTATAAATAAAATAAGACAAATTGTTCAAATAAAATACTAAAATTCTTTTTTTCTAATATTATTAAATTATATTTAGTTTTAATTAAGTGCATATTATTATAATGAAGACGCTCACAACACATCAATCCAGCTGTAAACTTAAACTTTTCTTTAATTAAAATTAATTATAGCCATTGTATTACTTATTACTGGGCAATTCAATTAAATAATTGCACCAATTAGTTAAAAATTATAAAAAAGATTTTATTTCACTTTCAAAATATGCAAAAAAAAAATAAAATTAATTTTAAGATGATCCCAAGACTCCACCTCTACAAAAACAAACTGCAAACAAATGGATGCATTTGTTGGAAAATAAGCACCGCCTGAGAATGGGTGGAAACCGCAATAAAATAACAAAAAACAACAAATAAACAAACGATATAAGCAATAGCAACAACAACAACACGTTGTATTTGAAGAAAAATCATCAGTCTTTTAATTTATATGTACGATATATATAGAAAAGAAACAAAAAAAAAACAAACAACAAAGTTTAAATAAGCAACAAATCAAAATGCAGATGAGGATGAGCACAACAATAACAACAACATGAAAAAGAAAAGCAAAAACAAAAACAAAAAAAAAACTTCAGAGAATGTATGCAACAAAGGCCTCCCTAACATAATACCTACACACATATAATGTCAATACCAAAATAAACAATTAATTAAGTAGTAGCTTACCCGACGTTGTGGTTGTTGTTGCTGTTGAGATTGTTGTTGATTATGTTGCAAACGCTGCTGCTGCTGCTGCTGTTGGTGGTGGTGTTGCTGTAATTGCAGTTGTTGCTGGTGCGGTTGTTGTTGTTGCAAACAATGCTGTGTTTGTTGATTAGCTTGACTAACGGCAAAAGTGGTTGGTGTTATTTGGCGATGTTGTTGTTGTGGATGTTGTAATTGTTGTTGCTGTTGCTGTTGCTGTTGCTGCTGCTGTTGCATATGTTGCATACGTTGCGGATAATAACACATTGAAGGTAGTACAGGCATTTGTGCTGTAGCATTTGTGTCAGGATGAGATAAACGATTTTGTTGTTGTTGTTGCTGCTGCTGCTGCTGTTGTAATTGATAATTGTTATAATGTTGTTGAAGTAAACGTTGCTGTTGTTGTTGCATTAAATTTAAATTGTTATTATGTTGCAAATTATTATTATTATTATGATTAATATGTTGTTGATTTTTATTTGTATCGGCAATCCAATTCGTTATACGCGTTTGTTGATGTTGTTGGTGTTGCTGATGGTGTTGTTGCGGCTGCTGTTGTTGTTGCTGTTGATGTTGCTGCTGCTGTTGATTGTGTGCATGTTGCATATTGACAACAGCAGCAGCAGCAACACTATTACACCATTGTTGATGATTATAGTTATTTTTAATATTATTATTGTTGTTGTTGTTGTTGTTGTTGTTATGCATATTAGCTGTGACTAAGTACTTTTGGTATGAGGTATAAAAAAAAATTTTTTTTTTATTATAATTTTTTTTTTCAACTATAACGATACATTGAAACTGTATAAAATTGCACAAAAATATTTTTAACTTTAAAAAAAATTAGAAAAAAATTTTATAAGAAAAAGACAAGTTCAAAATATTTTTTAGACTTTTTGGCAGCTGCGGCACACTCCTTTTTTGGATTTGCACATAAATTGCTGTTTGTTGTTAAATTGTCATTGCACTTTAGTTAACCAGAAATTGTTATTGTTGTTGCGGCAGTTGAAAATTTAGCACCCACTCAAAATACAATTTTTTAAAAATTTATTAATTTTTTTATTTTAATTTTTTTGTATATTTTTTAAACACTTATTTGCACTTATAAAGAAATTGCATTTTTTTTTGTTGTACTTGTTGCTGATCTCTCTTTAACAATTGCATTGCACTTCAAATCAGCAACTTCAAAGCTTTTACAATGCGCAACAAAATGGCGTACTTTAATTCTTTATTTTAATAACAAAATAAACAAATAATTGTTAAAATAAAAACACTAAAAATGTTATTTACGAAAAAGGCGCGTGCGTGCATTGATCTATCTGACTGTATGTTGCCGTTGTTTCTTATTATTTTTTTTGTTTTGTTTTTTTTTTTTGTTACAATGTTGTTTTTTATTTATTTATTTTTTTTTTTGTAATTTCACAAATACTGTAATACGAAAATATTTAAACCAAAACAATCATTTAATTTTTTCTGCACTAAACCATTTGTACTCGTCGCGCTTCCTTACGCTCGCAAGGCACAAATTGAATTAAAATACAAACTGAAAACCGAAATTTGATAAACCTGAGCCGCAGACTCGACCGACTTTGTTGATTGTCGTTTGTCGAGCATGCAAGTGACTAAGCGAATAAGTCAACGAGCGAATAAGTGAGCGTACGAACCAACCGAAACACCATACAACAAAATGATCCGTTTTATTTTGCTTCGTTATTTTTGCTGCTGCTACTATTGTTGTGTTTGTTGTTGTTGTTGGAGGTGGTGGTGGTGGTGGTGTTAAATTCGCTAAAAAAAAAAAATGTTGTTGTACTTTTGTTGTTGTTTGAACGCGCGTTTGCATTGACAGAATATTTGTTGATATTGTACTGTACAAGAGCAATATTGGCATAAAATGGCTCAGCCAAAAATTACAACAACAAAAACAGTCTACAACAAAAATTTGAGTCCCAAATAAAAAGACATGACTAAAGTTTGTTACAAACTATGGCAGTAAAATTATGATTCTCGGGGTTGTGTTGCCCGCAGTCAATTTAATGTTGTTAATAGCTTAGTGGTCGGTCGGTTGGTTGACCGGTTACGTGGTGGTGGTCTAAAAGTGTTAAGCGATTTTCTATAGTTTCAGTTTATATATTTTTTTTTATTGCTTGCAGTGTTGTTAAAAATGACCGTAAATTAACTGCGTTGCAGTCAACTTATGAAAAAAAAAAATAAAATAAAAAAATTATTGACGGTCAGTTATATAGTAGCACTCACATACGAATATACAAATTTAAATATATATGTAAATAATTACTTAATTAGCAAAAAAATTCTTTGGCGCCCACCGGTAGAGCTTTTTTCAATTAAATTAATTTTAAAATTTTTTTTAATAGAATTTGATTCCTTAACATAATAAATGTTCTTTTTAATTAAATTATTTTTTAAATTTTTTTTTAAAAGAATTTGATTCCTAAACATAATAAATATTCTTCTTAATTAAATTATTTTTTTTTAAAAATTTTTAATAGAATTTGATTCCTTCACATAATAAATATTTTGTATACAATCCTTTACATTTATATATATGTATGTATATTTATTTTTTTCATGTATCAAATAACACCGCGATCACTAAATTTTACAACGTTGCGCTCTATGCCGCGTACAAAATGAAAATGTTGAGCTTTTTTTTAGCTACTTTGCTTGCTTACTTATTAATAATTCTTCTTATATTCTATATATTCTTTTTTTTCAAAATTCTATTTGTAGTATAGAGAAGGGTAGCAGCGTGCTAGCTACTAGTTACGTCGTCTTGCTGGCTGCTGCTTTGTTAATAATACAATGACTAATGCAACTAGCACGCGCTACAACAACAAAATAGAACAATTATTATAAGAAAAAACAAATACAATAAATAAACACAAAAATATCACTCAAATCAAGCAATGAACCTAGTGAAATATCAAAAATATTGTGCTATAACAACAAAAGTTCACTCAAAATAGTTGTATTGATAGTAAATTTACACTCAATCTTCTTTATTGGTTTGTAAAATATAACGAGTTAAATAATATTAAGTGAAAATTAATTGTTTAAATAAATGATACAAAGCGTTTGATAAAAACAATTTCAAAAGCATATATTTATATCCTCGTATTACTTTCGAATAAAATTATAAAAAAAACAACTTTAAAAATAAAAATATATAAACAGTACAAAAAATCTAAAAAATTACTTAAAACATCATAAGATTAATCAATAGAAGTCATCTATAAGAATTCAAGTCCTATAAGAATTCGTAAGCCTTAATATGTGCTTACGAATTCTTATAAGACTTGAATACTTATAGATGATGGCTATTGATAAGCCTTATGATTTTTTTAATAATTTTCCAAATTTGTTATATTTTATATATATTTTTATTTTTAAAGTTGATATAGTTTACGTTGTCTAATTTTAAAAATTTTTCAATTTTTTTGTATTTATGCCGTGTGCGAGTTCGAGTAAATTAAGGTAAAGTAAATGAAATTTCTCAGGGATTTCTTGCACTGCACTTATGTAAATTTGTATTTATTTAGTGCACTTATTTATTATTTTTAAAAGTATTCAAATTTATTTATTTTTCAATTAAACATCTTATAAAATTTTCACAATGTTAGGTGTTACCTAATTTTTATCTAATAATGCGCTACTCGAAATTCTGGTAAATACCAATATTCGCTGCCATACCGACATAATTTACTATTTCCCCCAATTTACCATCAATTTACTCGAATTCGCACACTGCACATTATATTTATTTATATTTGATAAATCTTACGATGTCCAATTATAACGATTTTTCAAATTTTTTACATATTTTATATACTTTTATAGTTGATAAACCTTACGATATCAAATTTTACAAATTTTTCAATGTTTTTATAATTCAATCAAAATTATTTTATAAATTCATCACAATCACAGGATACGAATAAAGTAGATTTGTGGATGTTTAACGCTTATTTCTCTAACAAAAACATAAAAAACATTATTATGCAAAATATGCCTTGATATAACAAATGTTTGCAACTAATCAATTTATAGCGGAAAGAATATAAAACATACATTAATTTGTTCTAATCTTAAGTTATGATTCATGCATAATTTGCAGAGTGCAAAAAAGTTTAAACACTGATTTGAAAGAAATTTACGTCATAGTGGACTATAATTGAAAGCTCAACTGAACTTATCGAGAACTATTACGCAAAAACAACCTCAAAGTAAAACTTTAGAACTTCCAAAAAAGATAAGATTTCTTAATTGTTTAAAAAAGAACAAGACTCATATACTTCCACGTACCCGACCAACATCCTGATATTAATTTATTCGATGAAAAAATGTTCTCAAATTCCTATACTTCCAACATCCTGATATTAATTTATTTGAAGAAAAATTTTTCTCAAAATTATCGAATTTACTTAACAGAAAGTTCATACGAAAATTTTAATATTCAAATAACCTGGTTGATGATCACTACTCCCAGTTGATGTTTCTAGACAATAGCCTCAAAGTTAACGCAAAGCAATGAAAAACAGAAGAACAGATCTATGGTACTTTATCATATGACTGACTGAATTTAGATCATATGATTTGTGACGATCCTATTTTCCTAATAAGAGAGAGTTTAGAGTATAAAATCTATATGTATATTTTAAATAGTTTTGATCGCCGTATTGGTTCTGGATCGTAGCGTCACAATGGAAGAAGCAAAAAAAAACCAAATATAAAACCAAGTTTTCTCCGTATAGACAACGTCGAAAAGAACACACTCCCCACCATCAATTTAAGGATCTATTGGTTAATTAAAGAATTTAATGCGAAGCTTTGTTGACTTTTATGAAGTTTTTAATTTCTGCTGACGACATTATAAGAAGAACATTATAAGAAGACATAGTGTATTCTCCTTTTATCGATTAATGGACATTCACAGACCCTGTTAAAGAAAGTGTTCATATGTTTCTTTAAAAAATAAAAACAGTCTACATCTGTAGGGTTTTTTTTGTAGAATGATTCATTTACTATTACATGAAAAATAATTAGATTATTGCGATTTAAAGATCTCTTGTACAATGCCAGAATTTATTCGGAAAATTAATTCTCTTTAATGCAGCTTATAATTGCAGCTGTCTTGGCATTCTTCACTTTATAACAAGATATAGTATATTTACCTTCTGTCAAGTAGTGGGTATTCATGGAAAGAGTTTGTATGTTTTTCAAGAAATCGAATCGAATTTTTAATCAAGTATGATTAATATACTCATACTTGAATAATAATTAAATTGATGCTATTTGAGTATCTTTTGTACAAACCAAGAATTTAATCAAAAATTGCATGGTCTACATTACACAGAAAGAAGTATTCTCCGTCTATCGAAGAATAGACATTCGCAGAAATGGAACGTTACAAGAAAGACTTAACATTTTTCTATAGGAAACAGAAAACATCTGCATATAAAGGACCTCTTGTTAAAATCAAAACTAAGTTTAAATTAAACTGTTGGTCCGCGAAAATTTATCTTCCAAAATTTAATTATTGATTTGAACATCCACTGCGAACATAAAATTGATATAAATAAAAATATATA